GGGTAGTGGCAGCCTCACACATATGCAGGCTCTGCATTCTAGCTTCAAGTCAGCTTTAATTTCGCAAGATGAGTGGTTAAAATGGCTAATGAATGTTTCAGCTCTGTGATTGCAGTTATCATGCTGGTAGTTGCTTAGCCCCTGATGCATGCTGACTGTGTACCATAGCTGAGAGCCCCAATCTGGGGAAAAGCAAGGAGACATGGAACAGCTTCTGAGAAATACTGGGCAGTATAATCCAATTGCTGTATGTATGAGAGATAGAAAACATTGCTGACGCTGCCAAATACTCATTTCTGCGCCAAAATGTCTGATAAACAAGAATGTGAGACCCTATTAATAATCCAGAGCCATGTCTTATTCATGTACTATCTGAAAAGCCCCATCTCCTGCCCTGGTTCTCCTAGTTATATTGTTTTCAGGTCATGTCACAGTCGTATGATTTAATATATAGGCATAATGAGCACAGTCTAATTAGCTGCAGGCTGTGGTTAAATGATCACCTAGTTCCCTCTAGATGGCGAATTCTGCCTGTGCCCTATGACGAAAATTCTAATATTTTCTCACTGGTATCCTTTTAAACTGGCACAAACAATAACATAATTAGGAAATACAAAGCCCGTCTTATACTATTGATTTTCAAAGAGGTCATCATGCTGCAAAGTGACTTGTGAGGGCGGTAACATTTAATCATTTGTTTAATACAAATTAATACCCAATCTGCTGCATAATTATAAAGACTGATAGAAGGTTAATAGCGTTCACACTGTCTGCTTGTATTTTTTTTCTTTCCGTTTTAAAATGTGATAGGTGAGCAGTTTAAACGGTATGTTATTATTCTACTCTAGGCTGTAGAAAATATCTACATATTTGTAACACTATGGAATGCAATAGTTAAAGCGGAGCTCCTGTTAAAAAAAAAAAAGAAACAAAGTCAGGAGCTACAAAAACTGTAGCTGCTGACTTTTAAAAAACAGCCACTCACCGGCCCCCTCGATCCAGCGGTGTACTTAACGCAGCCAGTTTCACCAGCTGTCCTCACTCCCCCCGGGGCCGGCATCTTAAGTGTGAGCACTTGGCTGTGACAGCTTGCAGCTTCATATACGGGTGCCCACTGTGCATGCGTGAGTAGCGCTGCGCCTTGTGAATGGTCCTGTGGTCTTCTGGGACCTGTCACGTGTCCCAGATGACTATGGTAAGGGAGGGGGGGAGAAAAACTTCCACTTCCGATCGCCTATGCCCCCTGCTCCCCAAAGGAGCTCATGGGGAGCGAGTGAACAAGTACTTAAAGCATAATTTCCCTTTTGCGTTGAGCTCCGCTTTAACATTTCATACTACCAATTTAAAAATAAACAAAATACAAGACACACAATTACTATGATAGTGTATTTACATTGCAAAAAACTGTGTTTTCATCATCTGCCACAGATTAGTTAAATTCACATTTTATTTGATATTGATCTGTGCTTTATTAGAGGCACAGAATAAATTGTGCGGTAGAATCTTCCACAACTGTTTTTAGTGGTTTCATTCGATTGTAGACTGTGGACGTTTGAGTAATGTGTGAGGGATAGTGCCAGTTCCAAGAAACACTATAGTGCTATGTTTCCAATTATGAACAGCTAAAATATAAAATCTCCACCCACAACTTTAGAGTGAGGTTTGTTAGACCTTCTGTTCAGCTTTTGTCTGCAAGCCTGTGTTTCCATTGGAGAGATTTTTCTTCTTGTTAAGACATGAAATGATAGAAAGTCTCCTCAGCTGAGACAAAGACTGCAATAAAACACTTTTGTTTTCAAATTTTTTCAATTGTTTGTTGTTGAGGGAGGTAAAAACCAGAAGAAATAAACTATTAATATGAACATTTACCCTTGTCCAGGAGGTACAAGTAGTAGAAATAATGTTAGATGACAATCATGAATCAGTCAATAATAAACAGCAATTGTGGAGTGAAATACAGGTATGCAATATACGGTTACCCAGAAGAGGGTCCCCTGGATATATGATTTTCACTTTTCTGAAAATTTCACTGAGTGATATATTCCAAAATGCTAGATTTTTCAAACTTCGGGGTGTGAATGTTATTTAGTAATAAGGTAGGTCCTTCTGATGTATGAGTCATAATATCCTCAGTGTTTTGCTGATTGTGAGAAGGTGTATCATAATGTAGAAAATACATTTCTTGTTGGTGTAGTGGTGATGTGGGGAAAGGAGAGGCTCAAGCTTTCATTGTCATTTTGCAGTGGCTGGCAGGATTATTATTATTATTATTATACAGTATTTATAAAGTGCCAATAGTTCGCTCAGCGCTGTACATTACAAAGGGGGACAGAACATGTGACAGAACAATACCAATACAATGCAAAACATGAGGGGATTGAGGGCCCTGCTCTTTGGAGCTTACAATCTAGGAGGGAGGGGATGGTGGCACAGGAGGAGATAGCTGTGGGGGATGAAGTGGTAGGAAGAGTGGAGGAGGTTGGCAAGTTAGCAGGGGGTGGGGTAGGCTTCCCTGAAGAGATGGGTTTTCAGGGTGCGCCTAAAGGAGAGGAGAGTAGGTGATAATCTGATGGGTTGGGGCAGGGAGTTCCAGAGGATGGGTGACACCCTGGAGAAGTCCTGGAGGCGGGCATAGGAGGAGGAGACCAGGGAACTAGAGAGAAGGAGGTCTTGTGAGGAGCGGAGTGTGCGTGCTGGGCAGTACTTGGATATTAGGTCAGTGATGTAGTTCAGGGCAGTATGGTGGATGGCTTTGTACGTCAGCGTTAGGATTTTGAATTTGATCCGTTGCGCAATCGGAAGCCAGTGGAGGGATTGGCAGAGGGGGGTGGCAGAGATGGAGCGGTTGGAAAGGTGAATGAGTCTGGCAGCCGTATTCAGGATTGACTGAAGCGGGGATAGCCAGCGGCGAGGCAGGCCAGTGAGGAGGGAGTTGCAGTAGTCGAGTCGTGATATGATGAGGGAGTGGATGAGCTGTTTAGTGGTTTCTGGGGTTAGGAACGTGCGTATTTTGGCGATGTTGCGGAGGTGGAGGTGGAGGTGGATTGTGGATGGTCTGTGGGTTTCTCACCTACAGATGGTGAAGGGCTTCAGGGTTTATGTCTTTTATGGAAAACAGATACAAATCCTAGTAAGTTTTTGTCTGGAGAATGTAGAGCTTTGGGTGGGGTGCAGCTTCCAGTTCTAGGTCTACGTATTACCTGTCCGGTAGTCCTCATTATATAAACTGGCCATATATGGCTCAAATATCAACCAATTCCTGGTCCACAAATAGTCAATTGAAAAATCGAGAGTATTGTGTTGAAAATTGTTGGCCGATCAGATGCAGTCACTGTTCAGTATGTAGACAGCCCAAGGTGCTGCAGCTGTCTGAATACAAAAGCTGGCAAGGAAGATTCTTCCATTCACATTGATTAGCACAGATTAGAAAATTGAGTGATTTCTTCAGACTGAACAGTAGAAATCTAAATGTGTTTGGCTAGCTTTAGTCATATTGTGCACAGCTGACTTAGGCTCAGAGGGCTTTCACTTTCTCTGTTGTGTCCTGGAGCATGGAGGCTTCGTAAATGTTGGGTGGACTAAAGCGTCAAGCCCTAGGTCTATGTTTTACCTGTTAGCCAGACCTCAGTAAATAGTCTGTATAAATAATTAGTCTATATACTGTATATACTGATATAGTTATAACCAGTAACTTATTAATGATGATATTGCTGAATTTGGACAGTTGAACGCATAACTTAAATTCTAGCCATCGGCGAGTTTCTCCCTGGTTCTGGTCTGTCAGAGGTAGTTGTCTAGCTAATTATTCCTCAGAAAGGAATCAGTATGTAAGATCTCTAATTGCAGGTAGAATAGCGTGACTCCTGCTAGTGACGAAACCAGCTGGTCCAAGTTTTTCTGTTAACCTTCTGTATAATTGAAGACTGGCTGGAATAATTAAGCTGCATGGACAAAATGTAATGTTGCATTTTTTATATTTATGGCCACCTATTTATGCTTTCAAAGACTTCCTGGAGTCATTTAAAAACCATAGCAGTTTATCAGTATCTCCTCCAAATTATACCTTTGTATTTTAATCCCACTTCAACTTCATGCTAAATGGACTATTTCCAGCATATTGGAATGTTTATTGATACAGGCCTTCGCTGGTTGCTTGATGCCCCGAGTATAATTCATAAGTCAAAATATGAGTTGCATCATCCCTGTATTGCAGCAGTTCACCAGATTATAGACTTTAATTTGAGATGACAATGAGTTGGGCTGACTTAAACAAGCCTTGCATTATGCAGGCATCTAATACTGAATGTGATGACTAGATTCCAAATGTATATGGCTGTCACAAATGAAATCTTCAAGCTGGGAGGTGTTGAACATTGCATCTGTACTGTGCTTATTGATCAGATCCTTGACTGTATAAAATGGCTAAGTGTTCATGTATTCATTGCAGAAACTAACATGTGTTTAGGCAGATATATTTGTGTAAGTCAACTTAATAGCCTCATAGAATTATAGTGGAATTCAGCTGCAATATCGTTTGATACAATTACAACATGGTTTTGTTTTTGTTTTGCATTGATCTAATTCAGCTTTTCAATCTGTTGTTTTACTGATTGAATAGTATACATTAAAATTGGTTTGCCCATGTTCCCAGTCAGAGTTATAACAAGTTGTATTGTACAAGTAGAACACAGTAAAAATGTGGTTGCTTTAGTAGCTCAACAGGTTGGATTAGTTATAGTTGCATTGTATATTGGAGAGATTTTTGTTTGCCATAAGCAGATCATCCAAATCAACATAATATCTTACGGGAGGCCAAACGAGAGGACACGGCGTACAGCTGGCAGACATGGATTTTCAGTCAGATAACTCACTAACAATATCTAAGGAATTGGTGTCCTTTTTAAACAAATTGGTATGCTCCTGTTTTCACAAACTGTATAGCACATGTACATGTTTAACTTTGTAAATGTAACATATTATTATGCTTTTTTCCCCTATAGACAGTTGATAGACCAAAAGACTGGTACAAGACCATGTTCAAGCAGATCCATATGGTCCACAAGCCAGGTATGTGTATTCTTTATATTTTGATTGGTTATTATTTATTATTATTATTATTTTATTATTATTATACAGTATTTATAAAAAGCGCCAATAGTTCGCTCAGCGTTGTACATTACAATGGGGTTAGTTGGTTAGTTTATATAAGGTTGTGTTTCTGCATTCTCGATTCTTTGGTTGTAATTTTTATGGCAGCCCAATGTAGCACTATAAATTAAATTAGAGCACTGCTTTTCAAACCCCCTGAAAATTTTGAGTGTATATAAAATGTTATTTTTATACCTTAAATAAATGTGCCTTTACTCTCTGATGAGACTGTACATCATGTTTAAGGTGTGTATTAAACTTACTCATAGGTTTATTCTTAAAACCGTTTTAATTATGATTTGAGATAATCATTTTTATGTATTGAAAGAAGCAGGACATTTTACTCCTGTACTGATAATTCTGGGTATGCACAAAATAATGGAAAGACATAGTAATGTATTAATTTCGAGGACCATACATGGACTAGGCGAACCATTCCCTCCAAAACCACTTCATTTTGCACCATTTTAGAGACAAAGCGGGAGATATACTAAAACTTGTGCACACAGAATCTGGTGCAGCTGTGCATAGAAACCAACCAGCTTCCAGGTTTTATTGTCAAAGCTTAATTGAACAAGCTGAAGTAAGAAGCTGATAGGTTACTATGCACAGCTGCACCAAATTTTGAGTGCACCAGTTTTAGTAAATCACCCCGAAAAGGTAGAAAACTACTTTTGCACTCTGACCTTTAAAACTTCCCATAAAGGTTTAGTGATGTTTGCATCTTGTGATTTGGAAGGCCATGGAAGGTTTCCTAATAATTGACAAACCACTCAGTTTGTATAGAAGGATATATAGGGGTATTATCACCTTTGAATATTAAATCACTGTATGTACCATTAGGTTCACCTGGTCAGATAAAATGATCTTGTGTTTTTTTTTGGATGTTGTACTACCATTAGAAGCAATTCATTTGATTTAAAGTTGAACTACAAGGAAAGTACAAATCCTTCCTTGCAGTGGGGCTGCCCCACTCTGACAGTCACTGATCCTCTGACATCATCAAGCCCAATGCAGAGCCCTGCACTGAATGTGAGGATGCCAAGGGACAGTCCACTACCTGAGTATAGGTAGAAAGGGTGAGTGTCAGTTGCCGAGGAAGTAAAACTGCTTCTTGCGCCTGGGTCCTTCTACTGTTTAATTAAAGAGTAACTCCACTTTTTTTTTTAGAAAAAAACAATCCCTTCTGGGTGATCAATGCCCATTGCAAGGATTTAAAAGTGGAATTCCATGCTAGAAATTACTACGCTTAAAACTGCTCAAACAAAGAGCCAGTTTACTATCCTTCAGACTTTGGGGGGGGGGGCATGTTGTGCCAATGAGGGTAGAAAATGTCCTGGGTCTAGCATCAGTGAGAATAAACATTGCTTTAGGGTTGGTAGTCAGTGCCTGTGGTCAGTAAGAGGAGGAATAGTGACACATCATTGGTATTACTGGGAGGAATAGTACCCCATGATTGATATCAGTTGGAGGAATAGTTCCCTACCATTGGTATCAGTGGAGGAATTATGCCCCACTGTTGATGTCTTTGGAAGGAATAGTGCCCCAAGGGCCAGGTAAAGGCTTGTAAAGGGCTGCATCTGGCCCTTGGTCCACAGCAGGGGCGGACTGACAACTCATGGGGGCCCCCGGGCAATAGGGGATCATGGGGCCCCAGTGTCCTTGCCCAAACTCAATAAAGCCTATGAAAAAGGTACCAGAGGCACCTCATGGGGCCCCCTACTGACCCCGGGCCCTTGGGCAGTGCCCGAGTTTCCAAATGGTCAGTCCGCCCCTGGTCCACAGTTTAGAGACTGTTGCTCTAGAAAGAAGATTCAAATACTTACCTATTCTCTGGGTGGTCTACACTGCCAGATACAAACCTCTCAAAACAGGGAGTTTCCCCAGCAAATGGGTGGATCTTAACCAGGGGCGGACTGACAACTAATGGGGCCCCCGGGCAATAGGAGATCATGGGGCCCCTGTGTCCTTGCCTCAAAAAAAAAATCCTATGAAAAAGGTACCAGGGGCATCTCATGGGGCCCCCTACTGACCCCCTGGGCAATAGGGGATCATGGGGCCCATGTGTCCTTGCCCAAACTCAAAAAAGCCTATGAAAAAGGTACCAGGGACATTTTACGGGGGCCCCTACTGACCCCGGGCCCTCAGGCAGTGCCCGAGTTTCCAAATGGTCAGTCCGCCCCTGATCTTAACCCAGGAATAAAAATGTAATGTATTTCAGCTAAACAGTCTTTAGATAGGGTGGATGCATTAGTTTTCTTTTTTGGGCTGACATAGTTTTTGCAGATGCAAACAATCTCTGTCAATCTTGATTGAAATCCAATGTCCTACACAAACCCTTTTCCCTGTGTAATGAAGATGAGGAGAGGGGATGTTCTGTATTCTTGTTCCAGGGTGACAATGCTTCTTTTCTTCATAAATACAGTACGGTAAGTAAGCGCTATCTCCCTAAGACAGTGGTGCGTTTCTAGAGAAATCACTAGGTAAAAGTAAAGGAAAAAAAGCCTAAAAAAGAAAACTAATGCAGCCACTTCATCTGAGGACTGGTGAGCTGCAATATATAACTTTTTTGTTTTTAGATTTAGATATGATTTACACACCTCCATCCCCATCAGAATATACTTACCTTTAATGCAATCCCCCACCACTCTGTTCAGTGCCAGGAACAGAGAGAAATACCTAGTACTTTTGGTTGTGGAGGAACTTACTGGCTGAATGGGATAGTACTAAAATAAGTGCTAGCATATCAGGAGGCCACAAAAACTGGCTAATCCCAGGCAACTTCGTAGTTTAAGCTATCCATAGATGACAAGAAGTTTGGCTGATTCCTGCTGACCACCCGGCTCAACAAAAGTGGATTTAGAAATTGAGTGGTGAAGGTGAAAAATTATTGGCACATGCAGTCACTGTTCGGAGCCTGAATACATTAGTCAACAGTGGTGTATTTAGGTTTTGCCCTAGGCAAAATCACCCCTGCCCCCCCCCCCCCCCGGAGAGAGAGAGCCTGACTCCAACCAACACCACACCCGCCCACTCAAGAAAGCCTTCTACTACCATCGCTCTCCATACACTGGCCACACCACCACCGACCCCCAGCAAGAGAGAGAAAGATACTCACCTTCACAGCTACGGACATCTCCTGGAATGAAAGTCAGGCTCTGCATACACCATCAAGCAGCCCGCAGCCTCTCTTGGATTCCACCTGGTCCCCAGATTGTGTGTGTCTTTTCTTCCATCTCTTCTTCCAGGGGGCGGTGCTGCCCCCCTGAAAAATGCCGCCCTAGGCAAATGCCTTCTTTTTTTTTTATTTAAATATTTATTCATTTTCCATTTAAAAATACATATTTCATCATTACTCTCATATAACATACAAAACCGTCAGTTGTATCCAAACCATTAATTATATCCCCTTTCTTTCTATCTTTATTCCCATTACCCCCCCCCCCCCCCCCCCCCCCACCTATCTAACACTACCACCCACCCTAAAAACTCTTCTCCTCTCCTCCTCCATCAATATTTCTAGTTCTTCTTTCTTTTTTATTACCTTCTACCTTCTATTATCTTCTTATCTCTTTTGTTATTCTATTTTTGTGTATCTGCTCCAGGTCAAATATTTCTTTTAACAACCCAGTAAGTTTCTCTCTCTTCTTTTCCTTTTCTTTTTTGCCCCGGACACGATCAATATGCCTCTTATGTAGGCCTTATGGGACTCCCATACTGTAGTCTCAGACACTTCCTCTGTCTCATTCTCCTGAAAAAATCTTTCAATCTCTTTTCTAATCTTCTGATCAATCTCCTGATCCAGAAGAGCCTCATTCAACTTCCATCCTATACCCCCTGACGACCGCCTCCCCCACCCTAATTTCAATGTAACAGGGGCGGCAAATGCCTTCTTTGCCTTGTGATAAATACACCCCTGATCTAGGGAGGAGCAACATAAACAACTTCGGGAAGCAGCAGCATTGTTAATCAGTGGAAAGGGTAGTATTAGATAGACTAGCAGATTTATATGGTCTTTACCTAAGTGACTAACAATTTAAAGCCCAACTCCTGGTAACACTTATGTCAGTTTCAGCAACAGTTTATTCCCTTTTGAGTTAAAGGTTTCCAATACATGAATATAAGTAGATCATTGTAAGCACCTCTTTAGTGTCTAATGGTTTGTCCCAATCCTTTACCTGCCAACTTTGCTGAACAGCTTGGTCTGTTAGGGTCCATTCACACCAGATGTGGTAGGACTGTGCTAAGCAGTTATTTCAGTGCAGTCCCACCTCCTGTGTGCTTGATTCACACCACTGCATTGCGGCGGTGTGCAGGCATTTTGCACTGAAAAAAAGTAGCATGCTTTACTTTTGTTCAGCACACCGCAGCGCAAAGCACTGCCTCGCACCACATGACCGCCCTTTAAAGGGAGTTGAAACAGACTTACTGTCTGTATCACTAGGTGGTAAATTGTGGTACGGGGAAAAAATGCTGTGTTAATGCTATTGTTATTCTGTATCATATACTGTATGTCATTTTTTATTTTGACTATAGTTACACTTTAAGATGGACAAAATGGATATAGATGGATTATTGTAGTTCAATGTCATTGAATGGACAGGTGCCACAGAATCAGTACCCGTCAGATGGTGGAGGCACCCTTCCTCTAAGCATGTAGCAAAAACGTAGCATATGTCCTCCCAACAGCCGTAAAGCAAATATAGGCATTGTAGAAAATGATTGTATGTATTGAGTTATAATCAACATTGCTTCTGTAATTCAACTGTTCTTTTTTTTAACCACAGATCACAATTACTTTTATAGATTTTTAAACAAGCTTTAAAGGGTGTTTCTTATATAAGGGCTTAGCAAATATTTATCCATACATGGTTATTATTAAGGACCTTAATGCAATGTTATTGCTCTTTTCCTTTATT